TCTTGTATTTACCACTGTACCTTCGATCCTTTTCCACCCTCTTCTTTGGTGGTGCTGGAATCATATTTTCTGTCATCCATTGGTATGTACCTCCATTACAAAATTCATTACAAGCCCTGAGACTCCCGTTAATATCCCAATTGCTTTTCTGCATTGTTGGTTTTCAAAGTAATGAATATTATAGCAGGCCAATATGTTAACAGGCTCTTCTGCATTTTATTGAAAATAAAAAAAAAATGGCGTGACCCTCGTGCAGTATACCATTCGTATATTTGAAATTTACTGACAGCAATGCAATGAAAATAGATTAATCGATTTACCAGTCAATTTAGCTTAAAAATCCGAGCTACTGGTCCGTCAGCTTTGTAATTTTTAGCGTAAAAGCTGGCTAAGGACGAGAAACCCTTAAAATGGTTCGTGGGAACTGATTCTAATCATGCATTTGCATTTCAAAGTAACCTTCACGCCCCTTTACATTAAAACACAGCCGGGAATCGAGTACGTGTCGCAGTGTAGCTGCGAAAAGATGCGAGCGGTGGCTGTCACAGGTAGCGAATAATGCGGCTTATATAAACGGTTCCCTCTCCCCGTATCTACCGCTTCATTCAAGGCGAAAGCCTTTTCCTCGGCTTGCTGACACGCCGTGGAGCAGTGCCATGGCAGCGGGAGATTTGCTTGCAGCTAAAAATAAAGTTGTATAAAGCGAATGAAAAAACTGGTGCAGCACAAATATTAGATGGAATACCGCAACTAGCGGAGAGGCCGCGGCGCCGCCTTGGCAGCCGGTGAACGGCGGCGGCAGCGCGCGCGCATATTTTTAACATAATGTTTGTTTCGAAACTTTAGGCGTAGATTTCAATGGGTGGGATGGTGGTGCTGCCGAAATTACCGTCGAGTTAGTGAAGTGTTTTTATTGTGATACCTTTGTACCACACTGGAACATCGCCACTCTCCCCGCCCATCATTAAATTAGCCCGTCTATTTGTTTGTTTGCCTGTATCTTTACTGGTGTTCCCCGGTGTGTAAAACTGTAGGCAGGAAAAACACAAAATTAAAATGCAGTTTGAGATACTGATGAGAAATATCACCTTAAGGATGGGTTGTTTCAAGGGATTTTTTTTTGTATATACCTTGTAAATACGATGCAAAAATTTGCATGGCTATCTTTTAATTTGGTGGGTGCTGTATTAATATTCTGAATAGTTTCCATTAATTTCTAGCATCTCTAATGTTATACACATATAGGCCTACTATATATTTGGTGGGTGAGTGACTATTTCAGGTGGAACAGTGCACAATGACCTATAGTCAAGGTTATGTCAGTGAGATCCATTTCATTTCCTGCTAAAGCACAAAAATAAACAGTGGGCCTATATGCTATCCAGTCTGTTGGTGATACTGCATGTGTGTGCATGCTGATCAATAATTCCCTGGGGGACACCAATGACATCGAAATTGATGGTAGACAACGTCACTAGAGTAAGAAACCATAAAACATGCCCAGTGCTGTCAGTAGACCATACCGCAATCATTTCTTAATTAATAACTCGGCGATGAGAGCAAATCAACAACTATTAGCTGGGAAAGCACAAATAACCGAAAATCAGACTGGATAGAATTTCTAATGGTCTACCAGCCTAGACGTTTTTTCCTCCCTTAGTTAACGTTGTTCGTAGGGTCACAACAGCTGTTTATTGTATTGTTTTTGGTGCAATACATCCATGATAGACTGTATCACATGTTTTAATGCACATTTAATGTTCATGCGTAGGTGGGGTTTTCAGTTTCATACTCTAGTTTCATACTCTGGCTGTGTAGTCTGGGTTACCTGGCTGTGTCTTCTGTAGCTTTTCTCATTATACAGGAATGACGTGAAAACTGAAGCTTATTTGATGAAGCTTAAATGAAATTGCATAATATCTGACACAATATCAGATCAGTGGGTTGCCATCTAAACTGAGATGTGACAGTCGCCTTGACAATTATGTGTACCAAGTGAATGGATCAATCACAATTTTTGCTTGTAGTTGTTCATACCTTGCTGTTCATGCTTATAAAGAAAGTCTGGGCACAAGGAATAAATTAAAAGCAAAATAATGTTATCAGAAGTTTCTATTTCATGCTTAATTAATGATCACTAATCAATTATAAAACTTGGCTCATGCATTGGATTGAAGTCCTAAAAAATGTTTTTGAAGTGCTATAAATGTTTTTTTTTGCAGAGTACAGATTTCTTCATAATCTCCTCTGGCCGCAAAGCTGCCATCAAATACTTTTGCTTTTTACACTCTTGTAAATCATCTATAAACACATATGTAAAGTATTTAATTTACTGTGTGAAGTTTTATGTGAAATTGTAAAGGCATAACTCCAAATACATGGTGGTGTGAATAGCAGTGTGGCTTCAGACCCCCAGGGTTGTGGGTTCGAGTCCTGCCTTGGTTCTGAATGTGTAGTTTTGCATGTTCATTCCATGTTCGTGTGGGTTTTCTCTGGGTGCTCCGGTTTCCTACTGTAATTGGGGTGTTCCCAGTGCTGCCTAAGATAGGCTTACAACCGCTGTATACTGGTTAAAATGGATGGAAATACATTCTGTAATTATTACAGTGGCCATCTTTTCAAGTGCATGTTTTACATAAAAATACACTCTTAGGGAAAAAATTGTAAAAATTTGTACCCTTGTAATTGTACCTTTTAAGGCACAGAAATGGACTCTGAAGAACATCCCGAATGTACAACCAACATTATTGTACCATCAATGGTATACAAAAATGTTCCTCGGAGTCCATTGCTGTACCTTTTAAAGCATATATTTACCTACAGCTAAGGGTACAATTGGCAGATCCTTGAGGGTACAGGCCTAGTAACAAGCAAAGGTACAAACTGTTACCCTTTTTTTCTGAGAGTGTAGGTGACAAAAGTAATCTTTTTTGTCTAGAGGGAGAAAAACAGCAATGATGTTTGGAAATTGCTTAGAAATTCTGGTCATTTACTTTATGAGGCTGACTGATTACCTAATGTGCTAAGCTAGTCTGGAAGTTTCTTATGCAAGTTGCTTAGCAGATCCATTGGGTTTGGCATTTAATTCTTGGCTTTTGGGTTTTCCCATCTTGCATCCAGTTTTCCGTAACCACTTTTCCAGTACAGCCTTACGGTGTCATGGGTTTTTCATTTCTCTTTTTATTTTCATTTACTGAAAGTGCTAACATTTTTCAAATCAAGGAGCCAAAGGATGAGCACAGCTAAATACCCCAAATAGCCTAAATAAATGCATGAAAACATTTTATTTTGCAGCAAACACTCTGAGCTGCACATATCATATAAGGCTTTTCTGTTACTCAGTCAAAACAATAAATATTTTGTATACTTGGGCATTTTCTACTTCAAAAATGAATAACAATGTTTCAAGCATATTATTAAATAACTTAGGGAATTCGATATTTTTATCCATACCAATGGAATTTATAATGGTATTGTGTCTCTGACGATCAAATGAAAATAATGGGTGTGTATATGTGGACAAAAGAACATTTTTCATGTTTCCTTTGTTAAAAAGGATATAAGGTATATTGAGGGGAGCTCTCATTACGAAGAATAAGAAGAAAGTAGATTATGTTGATTTGTCTGTGGAACAATCCACAATGAAGACATCTTTTGAACAGAAATGTTAAGGATGGGTAAAATAAAGTAAGTTTTTGATCTTGCATGTGATTATGTATTCTACTTGCGCATTAGCCAGCACTAGACCCAACCACTTAGTGCTGACAACATGTTGTAGGCTGGTCAAAATTTAAGGTTAAGTGTGCTATAACTAGAGTTAAATGGTCTGCATATTACTCTGAATGCTAAATTAGAAACATTTGACTCACAAGGAAAGACAGATGAAGAGGTTAAAGAATGATGATCCAACCATGAAAGTGATTGTTGTTGTTGAATTGCAACTTTAAAGAAAAGCACAACAACAACATCAACAACAACAATAATAATAGAAGAAGAATAAGAAATTACAAAAATAAACTATAACACCAGACTTTGAGAGTGTCATTATTGGCGAATACTGTAACATTCTTAAGAAAAACTGCAGTGCAGTTCAGCGTAGCAGAGCCACAGTGGATCACAGTGTCTGCAGGTTTTTGGGGTTACTTTTTCCGTTAGCATTGGATTTACACTTGGAAACCCCTGCAAAGTTAGAACCTAGCCAAATTTTAGCCTAGCACATCTGGCTCTCTCAGTGGACCCGGGGTCCTCATTGCACATGAAGAGCATCATTTTTATTTTAAGTCATTGTAAGTCTCAGTTATTCAGAAGGGTCTAACCTCTGCTGTTATTATTAAACAAGGTGAGTGAGAGATACTTCTGCATCCAACTGTAGATGTACCTGCATTATTTTCATAAAGACTTGATATGAGGAAGAAATTGTGCCATTAATAGTACTCATTTGTATTCCATATTTATCAGTCAGCCTCATAAAGTAAATGACCAGAATTTCTAAGTCAATGTTGCAACCTTGGTCAATTATAGTCAGTTATAGTGGATATATAAAATGTGTACTAATATATTGGTAACACTTTATTTGAAGGGGCACAAATAGTGTAGTACACTCTTACTTAATGAATTAATTAACCAGAAACGTGTTAGAAAAGTGTTAGTTACATACTGATCCCATGTCCATTCATAATTATGACCGATAGTTAATTTACTGATGAAGGCGCCATAACCAAAATCAAAAATTGCAAAAATGACAGCACAGGCTACCCAAACGTAATACCTATTCATAAGCGCATTTTTTGCTTTTTAATTCAAAACAAAAACCATAATGTCCCTTTATTCTTAGAACACGTACGAATACATACATATTTATGATATTTAAATACTAAATTTGTTCTTGGTGCGTGTGCAAAGGAGCTTACCGAGAAAAGTATGAATGGCTGGAATCACAATGCGTGTGTCGTGTCAGCTGACAGGCGACAGGCGCCCTTTAGTGAATGGAAGCGCCGTAGAGTCAAGGAAGAGCGCGCTCCCGGTTCGCGGCGCCCTTTAGCACCCAGGAGAGCTCGCGCTACAGATTGTTGTCAAAGGGCCGAACTTACGCGTAGCGCGAGGGCCAGGTGTGTCTGCGGGAAGCCACGCCCACATTACCTTACATGGATATTATACTGAAACTTGATTGACAGGGGGCAGCAGCTGCTCAGCTGCCGAGACATGGCGGAGCTTGCCGTTTTCTGAGGGAGCTCATGTGAAAATTTCCTTACTTTCTCGCTGTTCTTTTTAGCGAAGTAGGTGGGGGGGGTAAAAGACTGAAAGTGCGGGGCGGATGCAGTTGTAACTGCTTACGATGGACCTAGTTAGGAAAAAAGGCGAAGCGTAGGACTTTTTTGTGGGAGCTGGGAAAATGTACTGCTGTTTCTTAGCGCAGTCAACAGCCGTAGGCAACAAATATGGCTACTTGTGTCTCTTTCAATTTGTGATGAAAAGCTGCTCGGCTCGGCCATTCATTGCAATGGCTGCGGTGGCGTTTTCTTAAAAAGTGACCAGCCCTAGGAGAAATTCTCGCGTTAATCGCTGTGGCAGTTCTGGTCGCTTTAGCCGGGAAGGAGGGCGAAGGACGCGGCGAGAAGAAATGGACCCCAAGCACAAAGAGTTGTTAGAGCAGTGCCACCAGAACTTAGTGGAGTCCATTACAGATGCGGAGAGCCTGGTGGAGGAGTTGGCCAAATCGGGCGCTTTGAGCCAGCTGGAGAGGTACGAAGTGGACAACAACTGCTCGTCGAGCTCAGAGAAAGTGGACCTTCTTCTGAAGATGCTGGCGAATAAGGAGAGAGACCATTTCCAGGAGCTGTGTGTGGCTCTGGAGAAGACCCAGCCGCACCTGTGTTCAGCCCTCTTCGTGAACGGCGGAGGACCTGTGGACCATTCCTCTGGTGAGGCACCCCCAGCCGGTATTACCGGCACCCAGCGGGGCCGGGCATCGGCCCTTTTCGTACGGCGGTTTTCCAACACGTCTAGTAGGCAGCTCCTCTACCCACCCCGTAACCCAGCGTGTGTAATATCAAATGCATGCATGACCGGTATAAATGTGTCCCGATAGTACAACCATTAATCTAAATGCGTACAAATCGGCACTGTCTTACATTTCTTGCTACATGCATGTATGCCTGGATGCATGCATGCATCCATGCATGCATGCATGCATACTTACATACATACACACACACACTCTTACTTGACCATGACACTGCTCGCTGTGCTAGTTAATACTTTTCCTCTCTGCCTGATGTCTTACATCGAAAAAAAAAATAGAATATACTTTATTTAGACGTTATGACGTGATTTATATAGTCGTCCGTGGCTTTTGGGAATATAGGTAATAAAATCAGGAGTGTTAAGATTAATATTGTGCTCAATAAAAATTTTTACTCTCAGAGCCGAAGATTGGGTATTGTATAATCATGGCATTAAAAAATGTGGCCTGGCATTGTACTGCCCAATAACCTTGGGAGTAAAAGAAGCATCTTTTTGGCACAGAGCTTGTGTATTTAATCCATAACTCTGTGGCGTACACATTTTTCCAGCAACCTCATATCAGTATTTTAACCTGATGAAGCATCATTTTATATGCACTGCATGCAATGTAGTTGATTTTCTATTTAATTGGCAGTTTAAAAGGGGTTAGGCATCCATATGAAGTTTAGATGGTCTTGTGTGTAGAAATATTAAGATTTACTAAGTGGGGATGGGATAGCCGGCTATAGATTTATATGAAATGAAACCAATTTGTCTTTAAATTTGTGATTATTAACATAATTTTAATCTTAATATAGCTCCATGTATATGATTATTTTCCCATTACGTTAAAAGGAAGTACCAAGCTGGAATAAACACTTAATATTTAATAGCTACTTATATGTTCAGCTGATTTTTATGCAATGTGAACGTTACCAAGTCTGTGTAACTGAAGGAGACACTCGATGTACTTTTTCATTATGAAGCATAGATGGATCAGTGACGGCAACGTCCACTTCTTGTGTTCTCTGGCGTCAAGAGCCACTACCTGCACTTTACTGTTGACTACCTACATTACGTTTGGCTGCCCTTTACTTCCACCTAGTTTGCGGGAAACAGTGCAGCTCTGCTAACAGTCAGAATAATAGCTTCAGTTACTTAATGCTTAATATATAGTTAATCCATCTTAAATCTTTTTCTTATTATGCATTAAGATTGCAGCTTTGGTCCCTACTACAGCTGTTATCTGTTGTCGGCTGTGTAGGCCTGTATATTTCCAGATATCCTGTCCATCATTTTTCAGTCCCTGACTTTTGACGGGAGCTCACAGCTCCAAAACTTGCACATCACACAGATATTTTGATGTGTTGAAAGGCCTGTTGTTTTTTTTAACTGTGATAATTGGGTGTTATAGCAATAATTCAGTTGCCTCTCTTAGTGTCTGTATATAATGTATAGTTCTGGATGCCGTAGAATTCTTATAGTGTGTTTTTTTTTTTTTTAATACTATCATTCTTGTAATATGAAATGGGTTTTTTTTATTAATGGGAAAGTACAGGTCTCAATAGTAATAAAGTGGGATATATAGCTAAAAATCTTTATGCGTATGGTTTATTTGATTTTATTTTTTGTCCCATGCCTAATGCATTCAGCTGTAACCATTGTACTGCTTAGAAGGGATTGAAATGTTAGGTAAGTTATAGAGCTAGACTTAACCAGAACCATGCAGCCAGAATACTAGTTCCTAAGCCTAGTTATGCAGGGTGGTGGCCTATCTTAGTTGCATTATCCTTATTTACCTGCTTTTTAAGCACTCCTGGGGGAGGGGGCAGAGTAAGACCTTGCTTTTTGCAGTATGTATCTATATATTTTGTAGATATTTTGAATGAAAATTTCAAAAAGGGAAAATCTTTGAATGATATTTGATGGTGCTGCTGTTAACATTAGTCGATGGTCTCTGATCTAGGAAGTGTTTCTCCATTATCTGAAAAGGGTGAAATCAATATCCTTTTACCTGTAAGATGTTTCTGAAGTTTGTCAACGTCACGTCATTCGTTACTTTTAGAACTGAGTAGTATGTTGAAAGTTAAAAGAAGCTTCTCAGTTCTGCTTCTGTGTTCTTTAGCTACAGACTTAATTATTTAGTGGCTGTCCTACACCCTCAACCTGTCCTTAGTAATAAAGAAGTGTGGAAACAGGATGCTTAAATGTCTGATAGCTGTATTCCTCTGCTACGATTCGGTTGGGGTTTTTGAAATTACTTGGCAGTAAAATATTGAAAATATCAATTTCTGTGTCAATAATTTGCTTTCCAATATGTTCTCCAGATTAAATACTGGATACTTAAAAATGCATTTGAGTTGCACACAGTCAATCCGAAACCAAATAAATATTTACTTTTAAATTTAGTGGTGGAAGTCAAATTCTGGTGTAAAGTTTCTAAAATTCCAGGATGAGATTTGATGTTGATGTGTTACAAACTTGGAAGAAGTGAATGAATAAAATGCAAGCGCAGTGATGGCTGATTCTTGCAGTGTGGAGTGGCTTGTCTTTTTGAGGGTGTCACTGAGTTGTATTCTATTCTGACAGCTTGTTTTTGTGACCCAGAAAAATAAGGGGAAAACTTTTGGTAAATTTAGTCACGTTGATTCTCTTTCATAGTGAATACGCAAGTAGTTTGTCAAAGCAAAACAGAAATGTCATATAGATTATACAAAGGCCCTCTTTTATACTTCGAAATGACTATGTGGATAGCTGTCTTAATTCATTCATGCTTTATTGCTGAATGGAAGTTTGTTTTATCAAATTAAATTCTAAAAACAAGATTTTATATTAATGTTGCTGCACTGATGAAAGTTGGTTTGGATTGTGAGACATGATGATTGTTCTTAATAAAAACCCATATTAGTATTAGAATTCATTTTTAATCTCTGTAGTTTTTAATCTGGGGTGTGCTATAATGAAACCAAACAGGGCGGATATTTTAAAATTTAAAAAGTAAAAGTGATGTTGCGGCACTCTGCACTTTATAGGTGGGAAGTTTTTCTGAACAACATTCAGAAACTCGTCAGCAATAAGTATGCTGCTGGAAACCAATCGGGGTGACTGGTTTAAAATACATTTTTTAGGCTTTGTGGGGGTTGCCGAGAGCCAGTGCTTCTCAATGTTTTTTTGAAGGTGTTTTGTAATATTGGGAAAGTTCTGGAATTTCTTTGAAGAAATTTACATTGGTCAGGCTATTAGTAGGCTGCTGTTCCCGATTTCAGTCCTCCTTGATGATATTTTTGGTTGCGTTCATTGCAAGGTGAGTGAAGATTTCTGTACCCACAATTGTTCGCGTGAGTAAAACTGTTGTGCTTTAACTCCACAGCCCATGAAATGAAGACAGTGGGTTTTAAATTACATAATGATGTAATCTCTCCATCCTTCTAACAAAACATTTATAGAGTAAATTGAATGACATCAGTTCAAATGACACTCGTGAGTAGTTTAATAAACACCTGCTTAGTTGTTTACCGGTAATAAACCAGTGAATTGCAGCATGACAGATTTGAGGACTGCATATTTCTCTTTATGATTTCCCTAGATTTTAATTCTGTATTTAAGTGTATTTAATGTTTGCGGTCCCCCAACACACCTATCAAATCCTTATGCATAATCTGCTATACATCCTTTTCCTAAGGTCAACATTCACCCCTGCATATACATTTTTTTAGTTAGGTATCGTTGACACTAAAGTCCATGTTTTGAGTTTTATCTCTTGATTTGGTCTTGGCACAGGTTTCCTGATCATTCACTGGTCAGAATAAACCATTTAATTTACAAGAAGTAACTGATAATTAAAAGGCCCTCGAATTGTACTTTTCTAATGAAATCCATGTTGTGTTTTCAGAGCTTTTATGCTGTTTCTAGTGAGGTAAGATGGCTAGTATGTGTTTCGACCATTGCAGATGATGTATAATGTTGTTAGACCTTATGGCGCACTGCAGTGCCTTTTTCATTCATGAACTGGCACACTTCTCAGTAGGAACAAGCATTTGCTCTGTGTAATAATGAGAATTTTGAAATGTAGCAGCTGCAGAATAACCTGATTTCTGAGCCGCCTTTTCCATTGCATGCAGGATAATATTGATTTCTAATTACACACTGCAAGCACTAAGTGTAGATAAAGCTTGAATTTTGGGGATGGAAGGCAGTGCAAGGGTTTTGCTGTGATCTTTAATGCTATTGAAATACTTGGCTTTCCAAGCAACGTTCGTCTGCTGAACTCTAGCGGTATTAACATTTTGTAGAAACATAAGAGCAGCAAAGCATCTGAATAAATATTGAAGAACACGCCTTTCCAAAGGAGAATATTGCAGGACAGTATGTATGCATGTGCATCATTTCATAACAAGCCGTTTTAGTTTTAAGTTCATCTCTAAAAAGATACGGATTACATTCTTCTGCAAATCGTGCCCCCTTTTCCGTGTTTCAATCTGAAGCCTGGTGGTCTTGGTATGAAGTGCTGGTGCTGTTCTCCCATTTGTTCCATAAATCCGAGACTTTCCAAGCATAGGAAATTCATATTAGCCAAAGTTAATGTCAGCGTCCGAAGGCTAGACCCTTCTTTACGGTGTGGAGCTTTATGTAGCTACACGGTAAATTTGAATTCTGCTGACAGGAAGATGTCAGAGTGGTAGTGCTTGATGTAGTGAAAGAATTGCCCAGCTTTGCCCTACGAGGCCCTACGGAATGACCTGATCATGCATAAACATCAGTTTTTTTTTTTTTTTTTTAGTAATTGCTTGTCCAGTATAGGTCAAGGTGGAAAGCATGGGGAATCACGCACTCATCTGTGGAATTAGCGTTTGACTGTGCTGTAGTGTAGCATGAGAGTCTGATTTTCTTTTAAAATGTATAACACAGTTTACGGTTT